TGCTGACGCTTTGGTCCGGTGGCCCTGGGTGCACCCACCCTCCCCCAACATCCCACAGGACTCTACAGGCACCCGAAAAGCATTGCGCCCCAGAGAACGGGACCTAGATCCAGGGCATCAGGTAGCTAATGGCAGGGTACTGATCCCCAAGTCGGTCTTTGGTCCTCCACAGCAACGGGACTGGGAAGGAGGTTTCAGAAGAGGCAGAGAAAGGAAAGGGTGGTAGAGTCCAAGAGTAGCCAGCTTTGGATCCAGGTGGCTTAAGACCACAGCTTGGTTCCACAAGTAAACAGGCAGTGGGGGCTTGTATTGGTGACCTGACAGCTCTAAGGGTTGTCTTTCCCATTTTGTGAAATGGGGTATGATCCCTCCATGACTGCAGAAGAAGAAACAAAATAGAAATGCTTGCAGGGAATACCCACCTGTGCACTGGGATCTAGCCTTCACCCCTTCCAGAACTCTCCCTAAAGGGGCACCTCTGTCAAGGGCTCAGGTTGTCCTGGAAGTTACTATGTAACCCAGGCTGATTTTGAATGGTGACAATCTTTTTGAGTCTCTTGCTAAGCCTGGGGATTTGTGTCAACCCCCATGCCCAGTTTCCCAGCACTTGTCTTCCCTCTCTCACCCATGCACTCCTGAACTGGCTTCTCCCATCTGAAGGCCCAGACCTTCCTCTTGCCCCCAGAGCTGCTTTTTGGGGGCTGTTGGTTCTGTTCCCCACATCCACTCTGAGTTTAGCTGTTTTTATTTTTTTTTCTGGTCCTGTAGTAGGTTTTCTCACACAACATGGACTGTCAAGGCCAGGGCCCTAGCTTTGGTGAGTCAGAGTGCTTCCCACACACCTTCACTACTTCTCTGGCCAGACTATGCCCTTCACAGAGATGGAACAGGGCAGACAAATGCTCTACATACAGCCTGTAGAGTTCTGCTTGCAAATCTTAATTGACAACTGGGAATGTTGCCTCCTTTTCCTTCCTAGCAAGAAGCTGCAGGCACATGTCTTGCAATATTCAATCTCCATGTTTCAGCCCTGAGGACATTCTAGAACCCAGAGCTAGAGGCCTTGGCTGCCTCTCCCCTCCCTGCCATTGATGCTTCAAGAGGTGGTTTGGTCACTTTAACTTTCAGTCTTTTGGCTCAGGCTTCTCACACTAGGCCGTACCCTAACCATCTGCTGTTATGGTGCCTTCCTTCTTCCCAGGAAAGCAGACTTGTCTGGTTATCATGGCTAATATGTGCTTGTTGCAGATAGGTGGCATCCCCAGGATGGCAGAAGCGTGAGTATGTAAGACAGTTCCCTCTTCTAGAACCTTCTGCCAAAGAACAAAGATATCTCAGCTTCACTAGCCAAGCCAGAACTACATGAAAAGCCCAGAGAGCAAGGCCAGCCCTGGTCTTGGTAGGAAGCAGGCCAGCAGAAACTTGGAGGCAGAGCCAGGAGTGAGATGAGTCCTGGAGTAAATGTCCTCTCCTGTCTCTAGAGCAGACTGTGATTTTCTTTGGCTTTGCCTGAGCCCTTCTCCCACCAGGAACACCCATGTGCATGGCACTCTGGCCAGATGGCCCAAGACAGAGCCAGTGTCTAGGCTTCGGGGCTTGGGTATGGCTTCCTTAACTGTGTCCACGGGGCACACATTCATTTTTAGAATACCATAAAGAATGGATGCAGGGCCCTGGATTTCAGTAGGCTGCCTGGTGCCACTGTGAGGTGACATTCAGGAACTGTCTCCTGCCCTGTATTGTTTCAGCTAACTCTGATTCTAACCAAGCTCTAGGGCTGCTGCCAGCCTGCTATAGTGGCTTCCACAGCCTCCTCTATCCAAGGGGGAATGAGACTCTTGACTCCAAGAGAACAGACATGGCCTATCTTGAAGCTTTCCCCAGGTTCAACCTCAGCAGCCCCAGGTCCCCAACCTCCCACAAGATTGACTACACAACACAGCTTTACTCAGACAGGGGCAGACATTTATAAAACAGGGAAATATTCACAAACAAACTGTGGGAGAAACACAACCTTCCCAGCAATAGGGAACTCTATAAAGTGCTTCTTGCCTGCGACCATCTCTTACCCATGCTAGGTCCCAGCAGCAGGACATGGGGCACTGCTCTGAGACAACCCTCAAAGCCACTCAGGCTAGGCAAAAGGAGGCATGAAGCCACTCCAGGGCTCCCGGCCATTCCATCCCATAGATCTGGGGGTGGGTGGACTGTTTCATTCCTTGGAAAGCTGTCCTGAAAATGGGCCAGCATGTCAAGGAGGTGGAGGGGCAGGTGATCTTGCCAACTTGTACCTTGGGAAGAGAGCCATCATCAAAAAGAAGGGCACTGTCCCCATAGCTGAAGGTGCTATGAAATAAATACTGGATGCAGGACCTGGCCTTTGATCCTCTCAGACCAGGCTCACTCTACCTTCCCTCCAGCAAGATCTCTTGGCTCTTTCCTCTTGGCCTGGGGCTGGGGAGCAGGGAGGCCAAACCCCAGGGCTCTGAACACACATCACCTGTGTCATTTCTCCACATGATCATAAGATGTTTCTAGTCAGAATGATGGACATAAACAGTTGGACTAAAGGCAGCTCTTTGCTGAGAAAACCTGAGGCCATCTCAAAAAGAAGCCTGTCAGATGTGCTGGACAGCTGGAGGAGAGGGGAGCCTGGCCCCAGGGTTCTGGTCTGATACAGTGTAGGCCAGGACCAAGGGCATTAACAACTCTGAGGCTAGGAAAGGTCACAGGGGAGGTAGAGAGGAAAAGGCCCAGAGGCCAGCTTAATGTTACATGTGAGAACAAAAATCCACACAGGGAACACACACACACACACACACACACACACACACACACACACACACACACTCTCCCCACACGAATACACTGTGGCTCAAGTGCAGGCCACGGGGATGGAAGGAAGACTTGCTCAGTTACCCACAATCCTTCTCATAACTTTTTTCTCCACATGACCCAACAGTGGGAGGGAGAGGTGGCTCGCTGGGCCAACCCTTCCACTGCCTCTCTGGGAAGGGGGTGGTGTGCCAGCTGTGATCTCTATTTGACCTTTCATCAACTGCCCAGATGGTGGGGCAGTGCCCCACCCCTTAGTCCTGAAGAGCTGACATGGCAGTGTGGTTGCTGATCACTCCAGGGTGGGCCCTGGGAGCCTGCAGGACACAGACTGGCCAGATTGCCTGGCTGGGTGTCAGCAATACTTGCTGGAGCATGTGCCTGGGAGTGTGGCCAGAGGAGCCAGGGGCCCTCAAGCCACACAGGACCTGGTTTCCTCCACCAGCTCTGACCCTGGCCTATCAACAGCTCCTAGGAGGCCAAGGCTGGGCCCTAGCTGCTAGGGAAGAGACAGGAGACTGGGAGTCTAGTCCTCACTTGGCTTCTAGAAGGTCCTACAAAGACAGATATGCTGTCTGAGGCTGACATAGGCAGGACTGAGCATACAACACTCCAGTCTGCAGTCTTAGACATCCAAGGGAAGAGCCTGCCAATGGCATGGGATTTTAAAAAGTTGGACAGGACAGTTATGTTTAAATGGGAAGCCTTTACTCCAGCCTGCTCAGGTTCTAGTGTCAGAACATGGGAACTAAACCAGCAGGACTCTGGCTACCTCTGGAACCCCACACTTTAGTCGAGAGTAAAAAAATGTGGCCTTCCAGCTGTCTGAAAAGATGAGGGATGAAGAGGAGTCTGGGGAGGCAGAGACCAGAATTCCAGCTAGGATCCTACCACCATGTTCTACTGGGACAAGGAAGGGGGCTCCCAGAAACATATTTGGGCTGAAGGTCATTGCTGTGGCTTCTGGTCCTGTGTCTGGAGGTGAGGAAGCAGCCCCAGTGACAGGGATGATCGAGAGACTCCTCCAGCCCAGTTGACATTCAGGATCATGAGAGTGTAAACAGATGCATGCACACGCAAATGGCACACCACGCCTTCCTCTGCACACACACGTTCGTTCCTTCTGTCTGTTGGTGACTGGCTTCTCTGTAGGCTGTGGCAGCTCAGGCACCCGGGCTGTGTCATGGAGCGATGGCTCTCCAGCTGAAAGAGAAAAACATGTACATAGAGGGTACTCAGGAGGCTGCTTAGTTGCCCAGGCACCAGCTCCTCTGGCTGCATCCCTGGGGATTCCCAGACTGGGAGTGGGACAACCTAGTGAACATGCTGCTTGGGCCACAGTCCCCAGGGCCAGGTTGTTGCTGGGCAACCATGGGGGTGGCTGGATACTGCATCTCTGAACCCAGGACAACTGTTCCCTGCATGCCCTCTTACCCAGGGATGAGGGCAGTATAGAACAGGGCTACATGGGCATCACTTGATACCTTGAAGGGTACTTGCTCACACATGCAGAGCACAGCTACTGCATCAGAGATGGAGAGCTGGGAAAAGTAGCTGCATGAGAAATTGCCTGGTTCTAGTGGTTCTGAAGAATAAGGCAATGAATGGGTTTAGAACCAGCAGGGCAAACTTCCACACACCAATCACAGGACCCTGGCACATGGCTACAGTGGTTGGGGGTGGGGGAAAAGAAAGGGAATGGGGACACATGATGACTCATTTTAAAGATTTAGAACATTCTGGATCTGGGGCAGAGAGAGAAATGGCCTCACCAGATACCAGAGGACAAGGTTAGCCCATCATACTTACTGGGATGCCTGTAATAATAGGCTGATGGAGTGGCTGCAGCGCAGGTACACTCTTGTGTTCACAATTGATGTCCCTGTTTATGTGGCTCAGGTCCTGACTCCCAGCACCTATGACTCTCTTTAGGTAAAACTGAGATGACTAGGGTGATCGAAAATAGAAAAGGAACTTTGACCCAGACAAAACAGAGGGAAAAACCTCGGCAAGCACCAGAGACTATGACCTTGAACTAGACTCCAGAACCAAGGATTTGTTTCTGTGGTGCTTTACTATGGCAGCTCTCACGGACAATCACAGACCAAGACAACCTGTTTGCCTCCATTTTCATAAATGAGGAACTGAACTGACACGAGTGTCCATACAAATAGCCAATATAGGAATTCCCAGGTCTTCAGGATTCAAAAACTCTGTGGGTTTAAAAAACAAAAAACAACCCCCCCCGAAAACTCCTAATTTTATGTGTATGACTATTTTGCCTGTATCTATGTCTATGTACCACATGAGTACCTGGTGCCCCCAGAAGCCAGCCAGGAACCTCTGGAGCTGGAGTCACAGACAGTTTTGAGCTGCCATGTGGTGCTGAGAATTGAACCTTGGGATCTCTCTAAGAGCAGCCGGTGCTTTTCTCCTCCAGGCCCTGTCGTTTTGTTTTTAACCAGTTAGTGAACTTTATATTATTCCTCACCAAGACTTTTACAAGATATTAAAAAGAATAAATTCAACATAGTGGCATAGAGATCAACACCTACACAAACTAAAATGGAAGGTATTAGAAAAGAGAAAACACATGTAAAAGTCAGATGAATTTAGAGACATGGATCCAATGTTAGCCTTCTAGCACATTCCATCCCATTTCGGGTATTTTATCTATGCAGTTGAGGCAGCCTTGGACTCCTGGATCTTTCTGCTTCTACCTCTCAGATGCTAGGACTACAGGTGTTCAGAGCTCAGGCAATCCTTTTAAGGCCATAGTTCCAACTGAAGCCACCTGCACTTGGAGAGTGATACTCTGTCTAGACTGTAGAAGCTGGGCAGAAGGCAGAGCAGAAGTGGATACACATGTGGGCAGTTCCCAGGATCTTGTCCTTTAAACCAAGTATAACTGCACCATCCACCTTCCTCTTGGAGAACATGCTGCAGTAGGCAGCCGGACTCTTCCATTAGGCAGCCTGTGTTTACAGAGGCACTTCGAGTAGTTTCCGAGCAGAGCTTGTCTGCTGCTGTGAAAGCTGAGAAGAGCTTCCTTCTGAAACAAAAACTCCAGTGCCACCTCCATTTTGTTTCCTCTGTCCTCGACTCTTGGAGTTCATGGAATTATGGGCATATCTTTAAATTTTAAACTCATTTTTTTTCTTGGTTTTCCTAGACAGAGTTTCTCTGTGGCTTTGGAGGCTGTCCTGGAACTAGCTCTTGTAGACCAGGCTGGTCTTGAATTTACAGAGATCCTCCTGCCTCTGCCACCACCTCCCAATTTTAAATTCATTTTAAGTGAAACAAAATGGCATATTATGTGATTTTTAAAAATTATTTTGCCCCTTCTCTCTTCTCTTCCTAGACAGGATTTCATATCATCCAGGCTGGCATTGAATTTGCTATGTAACTAAGGACCTTGGACTGCTGACACTCCTTCCTTAGTCTTCTGAATGCTAGGCTTGCAGGCATACATCACTAAGCCTAGCTTATCATGTGCCTACACAGGTACATATTATGTATTCAATTTAAACCTAGCTCCACCAACATTTATCATTTATGGAAAGCACTCAGCCTCCTTTCTAATGACCCCCTCCATGTCAGGAGATAAGAATTGGAGCTGAGATACATCTGAACATTCTGCAGGCAGGAGCACAGGCCTGGGATGCAGAGCCAGGCTCTCTGGGAAGGCTGGGCTGCTTCCATCTCCACACTGGATACACTGTCAGTGATACATCTGTCACAGACCAGTTGCACAAGTGTCAGAGTAACAATGGGGATTCTGGAAGTCACATTCTAGGTAGAGAAACCTCAGTGCTAACAAGGCACAGGCCAGTGAGGGAAGGGGCTCTTTGGCCATGGCCCTCTGTGCATGGAGGGGTTTCTCACTAGACTGCTGTGCAGAGCTGGAAAGGGAAAGAAACACACACGCTGTCCCACGGTAAAATCACTGGATGAATGAGAGAAGCCGGTGCATAACTGGAGGCTGATGCAACCTTGTCTGTGTCAGCAGCTCTGGGGGTTACGGGAACCAGCTGACAGGACTGCTATTTGGAAGCTCACTGTTTTCTTTTTTCAGTTTAGTGAACATTGTAAAAACTAAATGGAGAACATTCAGTTGGCGTGGGTTTGAGGCATGGAACCCACTGATCCCAGAGATGTTTTTTTGCATACTGATTTAACTCATAATGACTGCTCATGAGACAGCAAGCACCAGAGACAGCAGGGTTACAATGCCAATAGAGCAGAGCTAAGAGACTAAAAGCAGGGAATGATTACTCAGGCATTGGCCTGCAGCCCATGTCATGTGACTAAAATGGACAGGGGATGGGCCGGAAGGGGCACTTCTTCCCATCCACACAATTCTGACTGGGTCCACAGCCCCACCAGTCAGGTGATCAAAGTCACTCGGAAGCACATGCAAGGTAGCACCACGCCCTCCTCTGCCTGGTGTGCTTCGCTCACAGTTAGACTTTTCACACAAAGGTTTTGATTTTCTCCCTGACATACTGATACGTGTGTCCCAGCGGTAGGGCAGGTGACAAGAGCTACAAAGCATTTCACAGCTGTAAGGGTTAATCTTGGTTGTCAACTTGATTGGATTTGGGATCAACCAAGAGCCCTGCCTCCAACCAGGTCTGTGAGGACATTCCCTAGGAGGACTACTGAAGGATAGGGGGCAGCACCTTCAAGCAGCAGTCCAGACATAGAGGTCTGCTTCTGTCTGCCTGACTGCACTCCCTGCTGCTAGGTGCATCTATCCTGCTGCTGCCCTTCTTCACTGGCACTGGGACCCTTCTTTGACCTTCCAATTCATATTGAAGACCAGTGGCTCTCCAGGAATTTGTCTGGCTTCAGAACCAGCCTTGCAAACTGCAGTTCCTGGGTTCTTAGCCTCTTCAGTGTGCAGATGGCCACTGTTGGACTGCCTAGCCCACTGTGTAAGAAAGACAATCTAGTACTTCCTTTTAAATATGAACATTGTGTAGGTTCTGTTCCTCTAGAGCACATACTACAAAAGATGAGGGTCTTGAGGCCCAGATGCCCTAGCCTATACATAGGAGGCACTTTTCTTTTGGGGTTTCCAAAACCATGATGTTCCCACTGTCTGTCTTGGAAAGATGTCTGCTCCTATCACATCCTCTGACTTCCTGGCTCCTTTCCATCTTCAAGAGCTTTGCCTGGCTTAACCACCTAAATGAGGTATAGAGCAAAGCCTCCGAGATGCCAGTAGGTAACATACTATAGGGCAAGAAAGGCACAAGAAATCCTCTGCACAGCCGATATCACTTGGCATCAGCGTCAGGTTTCTCAAGTGGTTCTTGCCTACCTGGTTCTCTGTAGGGCCCCATCAAGTGTTTAGTCTCCTCCAGAGGCAAGTTTGACCATTCTGTTCCACAGGTGGCTTCTCTCCCAGAACTCCCTCAAGGGGCCCCTCTGCCTAGTCAGACTGTATAGACAATGATCACAATAATACCCACTCCAGCAGGGAGTAGTACTGTGCTCCAGTACTTCTGAGCTAGGCCCAGATGTGAGGCTTGCACACTGCTGGTGTCTCCCATGATCTATACTCCAAGCTAACCACCCCTGCCCCGCCTGTCCCAGACACAGTCCACACCAGTGACTCTTAAAGCACAGATCATGAGTAAGCAGCCCCTTTGCACCCCAGCCTTCCTTTCTCTCTCCTTATGAGCTACATCTTTTCTTTTCTTTCTTTTCATTAACCATAGAGTTTATTACAGGTGGAGGGAGCGGGAGGGGGAGAAGACAGAGAGACGAAGGGAGGGAGAGAGAGGGGGATGAGGGGTAAGAGAGAGAGAGAGGAGCAAGAGAGGAAGAAGGGGAAGCGCACCTTTTCCTTTTAAAACACCCTGCTTACATTCTGTCTCCTCCTACTAGTATCACCCAAGGTGGAGGTGGGGGCTGCCAGTCCAGTTCACAACATACTCCGAGTCTAGGACCCATCCTGAGTGTGGAAACATGTAATGTATGTTAACTAAGTGAGTGACACAGCCATCCCCGCTGTCCTGTCGCCACCTTGAAGAGGCACTGACAGCTGAGTTGCAAGAGTCAACTTTGGCCCACCAGACCAAAACCCACAAGCTCCCTAAGAGATAAAAAAAAAAATGTCCTTAAATGTGCCTGCCATCTGTTTTAGCCAAGTAGGGAGCTTGGCATCATATGCTGAGTGTCCATTATCTGGCATGCTCTGGACCAGAGGTGTTTTACAGTTCAGGGTTTTCTGCACAGGAATATCTGTCCAGACTTCACAGCTGACACTCCAACAGTTTGGATTTCAGAGTATTTTGGATCTAGGAGCTTAGATTTAGGGATGCTCAATGGCATCTGCACTCTCACATGTCCTTGACTGACACCTGCACTTAATCTTGGAAACAACAACCATCTTCCTAGAGATTAAGTAATTTGTACAACATCATTAAACTTCGGGTTTTTTCTGTTGTTTAAAGCACTCTTTATCCTGCCTGAATCCAATTCTTCCGGTTCCCCGGTAAAAAGTTTCATGTTCTTTCATCACACAGCCCATCAACAAACAGCTTTCTTTTCATAAGCTGAGGGTCTGTACCATTTTTTCTGGGAACTGTGGGCTATTAGTTTTACTTTCCTAAGTTGCTGTGGATGGACCCCAAATTAACATGACATGCTTTATAAGTCACTTTCCCCATACATCTGCATGCAACAAGCCCATGTTTTACCGTATGTCATCAGCTTACTGTGCAGTCTTGAATCACACACCTAACCTTTCTATTTGTTAATTTTACCTCAAAATCAGGGCATTAACCAAGCAAGTTCATTATCTACAACACACAGTATGGCATCTACAGTAGCTGGCTCTTCCAGGAACAAGGCAGTACAGCCCTGTCCTCCCGATGGTAATGTTAGAGGGCAAAAGCACTACGTGCTTGCCATCTCACTGAGCACATAAACCTGAGACACTCCATACAGACAGCCCCAGTGAGGCCCTGAAGTGATCAGGACCAGAAAAAGACCAAACTGCAGATGTACAGAACAGCCTGGCATAATGATCAGGGAGGATGGTAAGCTACATTTCTCCAGTATTGGCATAAAAGCCTGTCCTGCCTTGGGGAAGGAGGAAGGAGGCAGATCTATCTGTCTGTCTTTCCTTTTTTAGTGATTCAGGAACCTTCCAGAAAAGATGACCACTGACTAGTATGTGCAAAACTACAGTCTCTGTGAAAAGAGGAGAGGCCCTGTAAGCAGAAGCAGAGAGAGACAGCAGGGCCCTCTGGTCCTTCCATGGCTGAGCCCTTTCCTGGTGTCTGAAGCTCAGTGTTGCCCTCATCTGGCCTGATTACAGAACACAGCCTCCCACCTGCCACTCACAAGTTCATATCCGGGCCTCAGATTTGACTTGCATTAGCAGTCAGAAAGGGCAAGTAAACAAACTGAACAAAACTAAGGCCCCTTTCTTTTCCCCTAGTCAGAAAACAAAGGATTTAAATGCCTATATTTCTTTCTTCCAAAATAAATCCTTTCCTTAAAAAAAAATAATTCTCCTTTAAATTTAATGAGGTAAACTGGACATGTTGGCTCACATCTAAAATCCTGGCACTGAGGAGGATGAGGCAGGAGGATTGCTACAAGTTCAAGATCAGCCTTAGCTACAAATAAATAAACAAGGCCCCTAAAGGTTTAGAACAGTGGTTCTCAACCTGTGGGTCTCAGCCTCCTTGGGGGTCACATATCAGATATCCTGTATATCAGACATTTACATTACAATTCATAACAGTAGCAAAATTTCAGTTATTAAGTAGCAATGAAAACAATTTTATGGTTGGGGGGTCACTACAACATGAACTGCGTTAGGGCTGCAGCATTGGGAAGGGTGAGAACCACTGGTTTAGAAGCTATGAAAGCCAGAATGGTAGGATTTGAGCTGAAATCCTACCCCTATCAGATTTTAATCTGGTTTGCTGTTCGAACCTCCAGTTGGCAAGCAATGGCTTTCTAAACCATGTCACCTTCCTCTGCAAGGACTCACTCTCAGGCGTCCTTGGTCTGTGGCTCTTGGGCAGGCATCTCTGTCACCCTAGCACGCTTGCTCAGTTCTTCACCAGGAGGCTCCTCAGCTGCTTCCAGCTTTCGTTTTGGGGAGGCTGGGCCACTGGACAGTGGTCTGGAGCCTGTGGAGAGGCACAGAGACAAGTGCAGTTATATACCACAATGATCTCAGCAATGACTGCTCCTTAGGGACAGGGAGCCCTGCCCTGGCCTCCTTTTCAGCAGTGACCTCAATTGGAGCTGTGAGGAGGGCATGGCCTGGCCTGCTGGCAGCAAGGCCAACTTCTGGCCTCAAGTCCCTGGCTAAAGGCCAGAGACTGATGTAGCATATCTGCTGTCCTTGCTCTGAAGGTGAGGCTTTCCCTTTGCAGCCCTGGGAAAATCCCAGGAGTTCTGGGCACTTCCATATTATGGAGCACCACCAAGCTGACCAGCACCCTCACTCTCTCCCTGCTTCTCCTGACTAGACCCCTGGGCCACCTTACTTATTGCCTCCCCATCCTTACACTGTTCCTCACTGTTCACTGTTTATGTGGCAGGCAGTGGAGTTTTAAAAGCTCAGTAAGACCTAGTCCCTTGCTCTGGCTTCCTTCTTTTCCTATTTGCTTCCCCAGTTCTTATCAGGACATTGCTAAGCAGTTCCCCTTGGCAGCTCCTATTTAAAGGGGCCCTATTCCTAGTCCCACATCAAGCTACTCAATGCTAGTTCCCTCCAAAATTCTTATCCGAATGCTCTTATTCCATTGTCTTACAGCATGCCCTGGGTGGAAATAAGCTTCATCAGGTTTATGCTTATTTTGGCCTCAGTCATGAATATCTGAAGTGGTAGCACAGGTCACAGAAGGCCAGGGAGGCCAAAGTCCAGTGTAACTTCTCACCTGTGTTGCTGATGCTCCCAGCCTGGCTAGAGCTGGGCTCTGCCACAGGGTGACTGAGGTCTTCCACACAGGAAGGGACAGATGCCAGAAGACCTGGAAGACAAAGTAAGGGGTAGTCAGAAGATTAAGAGGGCTGTAGGTCATGAAAAACAAAGGGGCCAGGAGGACAGGAGGACACGGCCTCCAGCTTCTCCCAGCTCCCCACGCTGCTCAGGACACAACCTCCATTTCTCCCAGCACCCCAAGCTGCTCAGGGAGCCCAATCTGGAGCAGCCCGCAGTGTCCTTCACAGCCTCAGGTTAAGTCCTCCCCAGGGTGAGTGAGATGTCAATGGAGTAGGAGCTCCTTACAGAGTCCTCGGTATCGTGATAGCTGCTGGTAGATCTGCTTCATGCGCTCAATGTTGAGCCGACTAGTCTCAGCATGGTTGACGATGGGCCGTGGGTAGTCCACACCAATGATGCACTTGGCAGCCTTCTGAACCGACTCAGGGGCATTCCAGGGCTCATAGATGTAGCGAGAAGGGAAGCCTTTCAATTTGGGCAGGTATCGCCTGAAACACACACCAGGTGATAGATCAACACACTGTGGCTCTTCAAAGGACCCAGGGCACCCCAGTCCCAAAGGAGGTCACAGTGGTTCAGTGGTTTGATCCTTACCGAATGTAGTCCCCACTGGGGTCTGTGCGGCGGCCAAAGCCCACAGGGCAGTAGCAGTGGAAGAACTGTTGGAAGAAAGCACTGCAAGACAGCCACATCCAGCTGCCAGCATTCACGCTGAAATCTGCATCCAGAAGCAGCTCATCAAATACCTAGATAGGGGACAACCAGTCTCCTTGCAGACCTGACACTCTGGTTCTTTGCAAGTCACTGTAATACCCCAAGGAGCCAAAGCCCTTCTGCTGAGGACACGGAAGGAATCTCCTGAACCCAGGGATCCCACCCCAGCCCCCAGCCTTGAAGGGGGCTGACCTTGGCTAGGCCTGGTCACAGGGTACAGGCTAGCTTGCACTCACCCGGACCCCGCTCTCCCAGCTGACCCAGAGGTCCCCGCGGGTAAGGAAGCAGGCCACAGCGTGCCGGGCCAGGTGGTGGATCCAGCCCTCCTGCCTCAGTTGGGTCATGATGGCGTCAATCCAAGGGAAGCCTGTCTTGCCCTCGGCCCACTTGGCCAGGGCTTCAGGGTTGCGGTCCCAGGGGATCTGGATGCAGATGGGGTTCCCCTCCATTCGGTCAAACCTGGGGTTGTTGGTAGCCGCTGTGTAGAAGAACTCTCGCCACAGGAGTTGTCCAAACAAGGAGAGGGGGGGTGTGCTGTTCCTCTTCACCTGAGGGGTGGGCATAGCACACAAAGGTGAGCCTCTGCCTGGTTCTTAGCATTGTGATGCTCAGGTTTCCTGCACAGAGCAAGTGCAATGGCTTCCAAGTATAATGGCTCCAAATCCCATGTTCAGAGGAACTAAACTTACAAGTTTCATAGTGTGCAACATGCAGGCCCTGCTCTGAGCACCAAGAATGGCTTCAGGTGGCTAGGAGTGGGGGAATGATGCTTTGGGACTCTGCTATGGAACGGAACTCCTCAAGATACTCCGGATTCTGTAGTTCTACCATCTAGAAAGCTTATGGGATTTTACACATTATCAGCAGTTAAAAAATGTAAAGCCTAAACACCTAAATATCACTGAACCCAGAGAAGCTGAGCTGGTGCTTTCCTAGAGCCTTCACCTCTACTAGCTAGTGTTCATGGTACTGGAACATACACTGCATGCTACTAGAGGAGAAAGGTAAACACCATGCCAACTGCATACCCTCTGATGTATAATGGTGACCTGCCTGCACCATACACTGGTACAGTGGTGGCACAAAAGTTGTGGGAGCAACCAATCACTATCTGATTGGATTTAAGGCCAACCCCTTGAGATGGAATTCATCCCTGATACTATCCAGGTGGCCAAGAACCTGAAAATACATAGGTCACCAAAAAAACAAAAATAGATAGAAAATCAAAATACATAGCAATAAAATGACTCCTAATGACATTCTGCTATACTTAAAGATCAGTGTTTTACTTAGCCACTTAGTAGTAGATGGGAACTTATACAGGGACCCACAACTAAACAATGTGTAGAAAGTGAGAGACCTCAAAATACCCAGTCCTAAATAGGATGTCTCTATCAAATCTCTCACATCATGGCTCAGGAAACTCTTTGGAAGAGGAGGTAGAAAGACTGTAAGAGCCAGTGGTGATGGAAGAAACCAAGGAAATAAAGCCTTTTAGATACAACAGGACTGAAGCACATATGAACTCACAGAGACTGTAGCAGCATACACAAAACCTGCACAAGTCTAAACCGGATGGGGTCCAGCTCTGTGAGAGGACCCCTAACCTAGAAGCTACTTCTAATTGATAACAACTCACAAAGGAAAAACAATTTTCTCCAATGGAGTCTCATTGGGTATACAAACAACACTTAAGGGCAGGCCCCACACCCAGCAGTATATGAGTAGAGGGCCAACACAAAACAAACTCAATGGTGTTTTTGGAGGGTTTTGGGGAAAGGAGGGGGGGTCTCATAATGCTTTGGCTGGCATTTGTTTTCTTTTTTAATTTAACCTTACAGGTCTTTTGCTTATGTATTTCAGTTTCTGGTTTTGTGTTTTATGGAATTTCTGTGTGTGTGAATATCTGTGTCTTTGTGTTAATATGTATTTCTTAGGCTTTTTCTTTGCTTCCTCTCCCCTGTTTATTTGTTTTGTCCTATTCAGGTTTATTTATTATCTTATTTATTTTTTTCTTTTCCTTTTTGTTTTTTTTAGATGCCTTTTGGATTCAAATGAGGGGAAAAAAAGAAAGAAGGAAGGAAGGGTGTGGATTTGAGTAGGTGGGGAAGTGGCGAGGATCTAGGTGGAATTGGGGGATAGGAAACTGTAATCAGAATACACGAAATAATCAGAATATACGAAAAAATGTGTTTTCAATTGAAAAAATTAAAAAGTACCAAGTCTGGATTTTGGCTAAATAATGTATAAGCAACAGTCAGCGACAGGAAAGGATTAAGTTGAACTACACAAACAGTGATTGCCCCCTCCCCTAATGACTTATCCACCAAACTGCCAAACCCCATTCCAGGAAGCCAAGCTGGCTGGGCAAATAAAACTAAGAAACAAAGGCACAGCATGACCTGAGGAGCTGTTCTGTGGAGTGCTTTAACAGTGCCTCCTGGCTGCCTGGCATGTCCTGTAAGCAGCCCTTTCAGGCCAGCCCTCCATCACTGAGTGACACCAGCCACTCCTGAGCTTCCTTTAAACTCTGGTCCCAGTGCCAGTGCCGGCAGTTGCTTAGGACAGGCTCTGGCCTCACTGCTCACTTCCCACCCTGAGGTCCCAGCCTTCCTCTCAGCTGCTAGTGAATATCCCACCTCTAAAGCCTGAGGCCAGCTTTTCTGTCTCTTCCTCAGAACCACAGGAGAACATTCACATCAGTGACTCAGTTATGTCCAGTTGTCTGTCACCTCTCAGAAACCATTTCCAACTTCTCCGAACTGAGAGTCTCCAGGACTCGCCCAGCCCCAAAGCCAAAGAGAAGGGCCCTTTCTGGGATGACTGGCAGTGAGTGTGTGCCTGCTGACTGCACCTCACCATTTTTGTTTTGTTTTTCCAGACAGGGTTTCTCTGTGTAACAGTCCTAGCTGTCCTGGAACCTGCTTTGTAGACCATGCTGGCCTCGAACTCTCTGAGATCCGCCTGCCTCTATTTTCCCAAGTGCTGGGATTAAAGGCGTGTGTTGCCACCACCACCTGTCTTGCACCTCACCTTCTTATACAAGTCCCACAGGCGGTAGTAGAAGAGGCGGCAGGAGAGGCATCCGAAGCGCAGGTAGGGGCTGAGGCCTGTGGGGCTGGCCAGCAAGGAATTGGCATTCATCCGAGGTCTCTCATAGTTGGCAACCCAGGCCTGCAGGAGAAAGGAAAGGCCTAGGTGTTAAAGAGTGAGGATTCTTCAAAGGTCTTGGAGACCAGCTTTGAGCACTGTATGCATTCCACCCTCCTGCCTGAAGGCTCTAGGAGATACAGCCATCCACGTTCTTTCCCTGACTTCCATGTTCAGTCTGTGGCATGACTGAATGACTTATTTAGATCCTCAGCTACTTAGCTATTAAATAAGAACATTTACCATCTCTGGGGAATTGAATGAAGTAGGAAAGAATGCTGAGAGCATGGAATAAAGGCTGTAATTACTTAGAAGGAGGGAAAGGCATCTGCTTTACAGAAAACAGTGTTCCTAGCTCAGTCCCTGTTCTAGTCACCAGAAGCTTGAGGCTTTCACCGCTGAGTCTAGGACACCCATGGGCTTTCACCATTGTTAAACAGCCAGGAAAATAGGAAACTCCTAACCCATTTCCGGAGACCAACAGAGCCATTCACTTCTGGGGCCTCTTGTCTTACATTCCTGGCCTTGTTTTCCTCATCAACAACCTCTAGCAACCTGCTCTCCCTTCCAGGGAGGATTCTCACTAAACAACATACTAGGAGTATCCTGGAATCATCTTGTAGAAGCAGGGTAACTTGGCTCACAAGGCTTCTGTGACTCTCTTGGGATATTAGAGTCTCCAGTCTCCATGCTACTCTCTCTGTTCCTGACACTTTTCCTTCCTGCCCACTCCAATACCTCCCTGTCAGCCTTCAGGTGTCCTTCCTTCTTACAGAAAGCAGGCTGGAGCAGCTTCTGAAAAATCTCACCCTTTCTCAGCCAGGTGGGGAAACACCTCACCTTCCAGGCACCCAATGTCATTGGCAAGCTTTCCTGCACCCTCTTCCTCTCTGAATGAAATGAGGACACAATACAGCAAAGGAGAAGAATTTTATTGTAGCTATGAGGGCAAGTTCAGTCAGAGGCATCTAGAAGGCTACAGACTGAACAGGGCCATGAGGGGAGAGCAAAAGAGGAAAGGAGAGAGGACAGAGGGCAAGCAGACCAAGAGAGTGTATATCCAAAATGGCTGGATGATATGGAAATCTGAAGCTGGGGGAAGGGAAGCCTCGCCTGGATCGGAGAGGTTTAGAGTAGGGGTCAGGATAAGAAGTGCTGGGAAGAACCACAGGTACCAAGAGAGATTTGTCCTGTGTTTCTTTGGTACCAGACACCCCCCACACACAATTTCTATGCCAAGAATACGAAATAATGATCTCATTTTTCCTCTGAAAACCAACCAAACAACCTGCAAAATAGAGGACTTGTGATAGCCATGGGCCTCTTGCACCAGGCTGTTCCCTCCACAGCCAATCTGTCTCCATTACTCCACCCTCACTTTCCAGCCACCTGATTAAGCCTTGCTGTTTGACTTCACTGGGTCCCACCAGCTTCCAGTCACTCCCATACCACTGAGTCCTCAGACACTGCTGTCCTTGTATTCTGGGAGCTCTCACCAGTACCACTTCCTGCTGTTCATTCCCCATCTCTGTCTTCCAATCTACATGTCTCTCATGACTCATGTGCTCCACCTGGCTAGCTGCTACTCACTCTAGGTACTCCGTAGTTCCATCTTTTCTACATCCCTCCAATGTTACAGCCCTGGGCTCTACCTTTGCCCCTAGGACCATCTCTTGGCAGGCAAGCATCTTTAGCTGCAGCCCAGCTGGTTCCACATACTGCCTTGTGTATAACTTGCTCTTTTCTTAAGTTCACACTTGGGCTGGACTCTTCGAAGAGAAAGCAGTTTTATCTGCCTCACTAATCAAGAACAGACCTAGCCATCTCCCTTCCCCATGTCCTGGTACTGCTGCACCCAAACTTCTCAGATGTGTCCTGTTCTTTCCATCTACTACTGCTAAGATCATATCTAGGCTGGAATATGAAGACAACCTCCTCCAGGACAATATCCACACTGGGAATGGAGTGCCAGCGCTGCTCAGAAGACTGAGAAGGGCACACAGCTCTGAAGCAGCCCACACTCCCCCAGCCTCTCCTTGTCCCTATTTCTCAAGCACTTGGCACCTATCCTTCCCCTGCATTCTTACTTGGTTGCTTAAATGTCTCTTAGCAGACACGGGATACTTCTGCTAGCACATCTTGATCCCTGTGCCCTAGTCCTGCAGTTTCAAACCCTATAAAAATTTTTATTTGTAATGATTGATTTGGGTGTGTGTGTGTGTGTGTGTGTGTGTGTGTGTGTGTGTGTGTGTGTGTTCCTGTATACATGTGTATATATGTGCAGGTGTGGAGGCTAGAGAAGATGCTGGGTGTCTTCCTCTATTGCTTTCAATTTATTTCCTTGAGAAAGGCACTCTCACTGAACTTGGAGCTCATTTTTGTGGGTTCTATTGGGGAGGGGCTAGATTGGTGGTTAGACAGCTCCAGCAATCTTCCCTGTAACTGGAGTTACAGGTATGTGAGATTCCAGAAACCTGGTGTTTCAAAAAATGAAATTTACTTCTGTATCATATCTACTATCACCCAGGAGGCTTGAGAAAAAAATGCAGATCTCTACGGAAGAATCAATTACGGTTTTGTGTAAGGACTGGCTACAGGTGTGCCTGACCACACCCATAAGGGTGTGGTCAAGGTGATGTCAGGGTGATGTGGGAAAGGTTTAAAGTAATAGCCAAGGCACATGGTAGCTCTCTTTTCCCTGCTGCTTTGGCTCACTCTGGCTTCCTGTTGGTTGGCATTTACTTATTAAAGACATCTTGACCATTACGGGCTACGTATTAGTTATTCACCATAATAATCAGCTAGCTGTACATGTGGGTGCTGGTTCTGAACTCAGTCCTCCTGCTTGTGAAACAAACCCTCCTACTCATGAGCTACCTCTCCAGCCCTCAATCTTGTTATTTTAAATGAAACAAAGACAGAGAGACCCACACAAATGTGTGACTTAGTGAATTCTTCTAAAGCAAATATCCAGGTAATCACCAGCAAAGTTCTGGAAACAGGACCTTGCTAGCCACCCAGGAAGTCAGGCTCCTCTCCCCCACCCCCCACTTTTATAATTATCATTTCCTACATTTTTGAGATGTTTACATTTTTCTGCTTTTGCAAAGTGTGCTTGGAGCAGGCAGCTTTATTCTTCCACAACTACTCTTGGATATGGAACATTGTTACATTCAAGCATTCACATCAAGTTCTTTTAAGCATACGCTCTCTGCCACCTCTTCCTTTTCCTTTTGATGTTTCCGTGGAAGGACACGGGTGCTACATTTGTGTGGACTCTTTCCTGTGTGTTGCCTGTAAGTTGGCTGGAACCTGAGACTGGACTGAACTTGGGTGTGATTCTTTGTGAAGTCTACAGTAGGGGGCACATGATGCTTGCCTATCTCACTGATGGTGGCCATGGCCATTAATGTATGTGTCATCACTGAGGTTGCAAAATGGTGGCACTCTAATTTTACTATCCTTTTTGTCATTTAATAATCAGAATACTGGAGCTCAGCATTTAAGTGAACATGGCATTTAAGTGGCTCAAAGCTGTCTGTAACTCCAGTTTTAGGGGATCTAAGCTCTCTTCGGGATTCTGTGGGTACCAGGCATATATGTGGTGCATAAACATGTATGATGGCAAAACAGACATATAGAATTAAAATAAATCAATCTTTTTTGAAGCATCAGAATGTCATTACAGAGAGCTCCAGAAGTAAAGAACATACAATCTGCCCCGTTTTGGTAAAAGCATCAGTTCTAATGGGCAAGGCAGAACTAAGTCTACTTTCTGACTCTAGGAGTGGACTCAGGATATGAATGTGGTCAGAGGAAACACTCCATCCCTGGCCACAGTGACAGAACCAGGGAAGGGCATGTGACCCAAACCAAGCCAATGAAAATACTTCTTTAAATTTCTTTTGAAAAAGAGGCAAGCCCTTCCTCTGGAGAGCTAGACAACCAGAATGTGGGCCATGCTGACTACCTTCTCTCCTACTGAGGGAAGCAGACCTGAGAGTGGACTCACACAGACCACAGTTAAGTCAAGAGATGGAGGACATCTGCTCAAACATTCTTGGAACACCTGGACCTAGCTATGCCCTAAAGCTACACCTTAGACTCCCCATTATGTTAGTTTTAAAAACGTCCCTTTCAAAAGCCAGTTGCAAGTGCAACACCTGATTGATAATTAAGCCTGATGCACTTTGCTCCTGCAACCCTCTGAGGCTGCTTCCCTAATCCTTAGGCCACCTGTAATGACCCAGAATATTCTTCTGGAAGCTTCTCCATGTCTCTCCTGCTTATCAGCCTTTCTGCTCCTAGATCATCCTGACATAAGTGACTGCTCCCTTCAGATCTGAAGAACCAAAAGGTTCATTTCTTCAACCTAACATCTCTGGCTCTCCCCAGTGAGTAGGGTGGCAGTCACAGGTGTGTGGAAAATGGGCTCCTGACTTGATGATTTGAGAGGCATCTACAAAATACTTTTAAAGTAATAAAAATGAGAATCTATCAGGGTATAGGTTAACTGCATACACTCTTGAGTTTTGTTCTTCCTGCCATTCTCTTTGTCATCTCCAACCCCTGCTTCTGACCAAACTTCTGTCTCCAAACAGCCTAAGACTCTGGGTACAGTGTTTTGGTTTTTCCTTTCATCTTATGCTAGGGTGGAATGAGGGGTTTGAGCATGTCTGGAAAACACTCTACCACCAAGCTGCAACCCAGCCCTGGGCAAAGCTCTTGATGTGGACAAAGAAAACTGGTCCCTTGTAGCTGCTGACTTTGGGCCTCATATTTCAAATTGGAGGACCTTGTTTTTAGTCTCGGCTGAGAAACATCAGGATGGGAATATTAAGTCTGCTGAACTGAGGGAGGCTGAGGCCATCAACACATCCTTCAGTGCTGGCTGGCACTCCTGAGGCTCCTTCCTAAGCAGGCTGCCTTGGGTCCTTGCTCCATTGCCATCATCTAGTTGCTGGAGAAATGTCTTGTCGCTTGCACAAGGACAGAAAAAGCCATGCCTTTAAGGGTCAGACTACAGAAAGACTGCAGAGTTAGGAGGCAAGAGTCCTTAGTCCATGGAACCTGCTCTACTCTTCTGGTCACAGGGCAGTGAGGACCATGGACACTGTGGAACATAACTTCTGGGGCCTCATACTCCCACCTTCCTCTTGATGATTCCCACCACATAGGTGGGCCATTTGCTATCTGGTTCTAAGCAAATGGGAAGAAAGTTGTAGAGGAAACACAGATGGGGAGGGGCCATCTGACACAAGGTGTTTTTTCAAGACAGGGTTTCTCTGTGGCTTTTGGAGGCTGTCCTGGAACTAGCTCTTGTAGAACAGGCTGGTCTCGAACTCACAGAGATCCGCCTGCCTCTGCCTCCTGAGTGCTGGGATTAAAGGCGTGCGCCACCAACACCCGTCCTTACTCAATCTTTCTAAGCCTAGCTTTGATTATCTTTCAGATGGGAAGCCTAATACCTGCCTGTGGGACTGCTGCACTGATGAAGGGGACAATGCAATCGGGCACTTAAGCCAGTGCCAGCACAGGGATGGACTCTCTAACCAGGAGCTGTTGTTAATTTTGCCACCAGAAAGTTTTCAGTTTTCAACCACTTGGAGATAAGAGGCTCCTGGGACATGAACCTGATCTACACCTGCTGCTATGCACCTGCAGTTTTAGGGTTCAGAAACAGGGCTATACCTTCCGTTCCAAGTGCTTATCCAGGCGGGCCAGAGCTTCGGTCTCTCCTCCTTGCCAGACAGCTGGGCCAAGTCCTTCTGTGGGGAACCCTACAAAAGGAGCAGCAGGCCAGAGCATTGCAGGTTGGGTCCTCTAATTAACAATTATAAACATGACACTTTCCACTATTCATACTGAACTGTTCTTTAAATGAAACCACAGACCTTGGACTTGGCGATACTGGAATTGAGAAAACCCTTGAAAGTGAAGAAGGCTAGCTTTATTCAGATCAGAAAATGGGTGGCAAGGGGGAGGGGAGGAAAGAAGGTGGATTTTTTAGTTATCCTAGAGGAGAAGACCACTGACTAGAGCCAGACAGTGTCTCTACTGTTAGAGAGAGGGAACTACACAAAGAGGCTTCAGCTAGAAATAGCAGCCTAGCAGGGCAGAAATTCACTGGTCATGGGGGTGGGAGTGGTTAATAGCAACTTTTCTGTTTTTGTTTTGTTTTGTTTTAAAGGCAAGATCTCATGTAGCCCAGGCTGGCCTGTTTCTTCTGTCTCTGTCTCCCAGCTTCTGAGATTACAGGCATGTGACACTAGGCTAACATTTTCTAACTTTAACAAAGAAACAGGAAAACCACATCCCACACAGGAAGCGGCAGCCTATGTGATGTGGTACAGAACTTACGCACCCAGTTCCTCTAGGGAAGGCACGCCATAGGTGTCATCATGGTTCTCCTGGATCTCAGCCCTGCAGTTCTCCATCTGCTGGCTGGTCACAGCACCCACTGGCTTCTTGGGCAACTCCATGCGGCTGATGATGGCCTGAAAGCGCTTGTAGGTAAGGGGTGGTTTCTGCCCATTCAGTTCGATGATTCTGGGGAGCCCAAAGCATACCTAAAGTCACTCCTGAGGCCCTTTATTTTGGGGTCCCTGACCACCCCAAAAAAGAGCCCAGACTCAGAAGCTCTGAGGGTCACTCTCCTCATCAGCTCACAGTCCCACGCCTGAGTAGAAAGGGGGGAGGGGCAGGGAGGCTGTATCTCCATTTTACCGAGAGGGAAAATGAAGCCCAGAGAGCTGGAACAGGTGCCTCAGGTATTGGAGCAAGGCAGGGCCAAAGCTGGGACTCAATTCCAGGTTCCCTGGTGTCCACGTAGAGCCGCCTAGAGACAGAGACTGACCATATCTCTCTAATCAGACAGAAAATCCCCCATGGGCCTTCTGGGCATGTATGTGACCACACCAAGGGCCTCTGTCCCATTTCAAGCACATATGGTAAGGGCTGTGACATACTCCTTGCTTGGAGGATCATCCTCCTATTAGTCCTGTTTACTAGAGTGGAGATGTGAAGGCCAGCTAATGCTCCCTAAATCAGAAGCTGTTACGGTAAACAGCAACAACATAAAGAGTTTTGAAGTGTGCCAGTGTTTTTCAAAAGCAAGAAGGGAAGGCATGAGAGCTGAAGAAGAGAATGCCACTGCTTCTATAAGCATAAACTTGGATGGTTCACAGCCAGATTCCTGGGCTCTTGCTGGCTGAGAAGGAGCTTATGCAAGGCCTGTCTGTCTGGGTGAGTTCATTTCCCTATTTGCTCTCCCTGCACTGCCCCCATTAGCCCAGATAGAAGCTGGCTGCTGCCTCTGTAGTCCCTCTCCTCCTCTGGCACGTGGCAGGGGAAGGGCTCCACACCAAGCCTCTCCTCCTGAGGGCTTGGCTCACGTGCACAGCTGTGTGACCCAGCCTTCTGGCAGCCAGCCCTCAGTTGGGGGAGGAGGGCAGGGAGCAGCAGCAACAGCAACAGAAGGGTGACATCTCCAGTAGGGAAGTGGGGACAGCCACATAGAGGCTAGTCAGAGGCTGGCCACGGGAGGAAGGAGATTCTGCTGTGGTTACCAGCACCCTGCAGGGTTCTCTAGAGCCCTCAAACTGCATCCAAATGCATGGCCTGGAAACCCAGATAGGCAGAGCAGACCTGGGAATCATCCTAGGGTTGGAAACTAGGTCTGTGGGAGCAGAGACCTGCTGGGAGGAGTGTCAGATGGGGTCTGTCAAGGTTAGGATACTGCAGTTTGGGAGCACAAGAGTGGGGAGCATGAAGTACAATGAGCTAACAGCAGATTTATGAAGACCCTGTGTGGAGACAGATCCTCCGGCTTCCACAGCTTGGGCCTAAACAAGCCTTTGTTATCCAAATTGGGTAACCTCTTGGTGACTTCTTTTACCCCCAATTCTGGACCATTCTTGTCCAGTTTCTAGAAAACACCATACCTCATAAGCCAGGTAGCCCTTTTGCCGAACTGGTCCAAGTTCCACTTAGGACCAACTCTCACCACAGGCAACCTTACCAAGAGCGCCCATCCATGTCTCTTACCTGTCCAGGTCATAGAGGGTATGAGAGTTCTCAGTCACGACTTCCACACCAGCCTCCTTGGCCATCTTCATAATGGCTGCATCCCGTTCTTTCCCAAAGGGTTCAGAGTCATATTCAAAGGTCAAGCGGGTCACCCCCCATTCCTGTGGGGAGATAGTCCGTTATGCTCAGTACTGTTTGAGAAGCAGGACCTGGGCACTCAGCTCCTCTCTGGGAATGAACACGGCCAATCTTGGCCATGTTACAATGGCTACAGAACAAACAAAGGGCATCGGATAATAGTTTCAGTTGGAAAGAACCTGAGGCTCACAAAGTGTGAAACAGGTAAGGGGGTCAGACCAATAACACTACTGTGCTAGAGTCAGTGGGACAGGCCTGCGCATTTACTGTGGGCCTTGAGGTGGGTGAATGAAGCTATAAATACAATGTTCTCAGGGGAGCCCCTGGCCCACAGAGAAGCACTGACTCACAGTGGAAATGGGTGGGGGAGACACACACTGGATCACTAACTCCTGCCTGCTCTGCAGCCTTTCCCAGATCTCCTCTGAGTCTAACTTGTGGCCTACTTTTCTTGGCAGACTTGTGCTATGTAAAGTGTCTTAATGGTTTCCACAGCAACACTTCCAAGGCCAGAAGCAAACAGAGCTAATAGCTCTCAGAGCTGCAGAAGGAGGAGCAATCCTTAGATCAGAGGTTGGAGAAGACAAACTGGAGGGGCTACAGGTTGTGAAAAGGGATATTCTTTTCTGAGCTTTCAGTCACTTCTGGTAGGAATAGCCCAGTCTCCTAGCAACACCAGGAGAAATCTGCTCCAGTGAAAGCTATCTAGACAAGTCACAGAAAGCCCTATAGCTTGTAACTAGCAAGAAGCAAACAATCTAACCAGCCTGTGGTCACAGGCCTTTAAAGCTTTGAACCACTGGCAAATATCCTAATTCAATCCTGCCCAGGGGAGTGAGCAGGGCAGATATCCAGCTGTCAAAGCACAAACACACTAAACATTTATTTAGCCCTTAACTATGCTAAGTGCTTTGCATAGATGATATCATTACAGAGTCACAAAACCCTGTAAATAAGGAGATTCTCATTAAATGGCAGCCCCCCCCCCTCCTTCAGGAGGATTCTCCTGTGTCTCTGTCCTATTTCTACCACAGCATTTGTCACAGGCAATGAAGCCACCCATTACCTGCCTGCTTCGCCCAAAATTGTGTGAACTCAGAGTAGAAGTCATGCTGTGTTGTGCATCTATCACTATCGTCTTATCAGCCACTATGGGGCCTGATAGCTAGTAGAAGCTCAATAAATACACAATCAGTGACTCAATGAACAACAGAGCTACACTTCTGAGCAACAGCCTCTGAGCTGCAGGGAGAGAGGAGCAATGTGGAGTGATAATAAAGACAAAGGGATTTCTGTTACTGTTGTCTTGGTTTAGTGGTGCTGGCCTCATACATATTAGACAAGTGCTCCACCACTAAGCCATAGCCACAGCCTAACAAACACAGGTATATGGTACAGCTGGTAAACACACAGGCTCTGTGTCAGAGAGCCTGAAGCCACTTCCTGACCAGGGCAGCATTTGCTTTCCTCACCTGTAAACCTGGGAGGGCGGAGCTGCTGTGGGGTAGGTGTCAGCGCATGACAGCAGCTGGAACAGGACTCCTAGTCAGGGCCCTCAGAGAACATTGGTGACTAGTGTCCAGTGACTCATAGGTGTGTGCAAAATTATGGGGGAGGGGAGAGACATACCATAAAGCTCTTTTCTTTGACATCAGATTTTCCCCTCCTGGCACAGAGTTTGGAGTGCTACTGAGGATGGAGGAGAATGCTGTAGAATGTTCTACACATGGGAACTTTTTCTCAGCTTGGGCCTTAAAACATGCACTTTAAAGGGGCTGGGAGGAAATTGGCTTGCCTCCAATATGGCCCCCAAATAAAGATTTTATTAATTGCTTACCACAGGGAAACAGGGTAACGCTCCCTCAAATGCCTGACTTTTTTTCCTAATAAGCAGAGCACGTTGAGGTGGGCAGCACCCCTTGTTAGACAGGAAACCCCACCCTCAAAGTCTTGGCAGTAACAAACCCTAATAAAAAGTACTGGCTTGAGCCAAGGAAACACAAGGAGCCAGCGGCAGTGGGGTGGAAGGACTTAGCACACTGCATGTCTGGGCTGAGCTGGGATCCTTCCAACACAACACTGGTTTTACAGACTTTTTTCCTTTTACAGTTTCCACCCTGATGGCAAACTGACCAGTTGTCTCTGCTCTGACCTCCCTAGCAGCCATTTTAGAGGCCAGACAGGCACCAGTATTTCCATTTTGCCAGCCAGAATAGCATTTCACTCTGGGGAAATGCCAGGCAGAAGAATCTCCCCCTCAGCCCTACACACTCACCTTGAAGAGCCTTGGGAACACATCAGCTGGCTGTCCCCGGACTACAAACAGACGGGAGTTCAGCTTTCTTAAACTTGTGTCCAGATCTTCCAGAGATTGCAATAGGAACCTGAAGAATCCACAAAGCCTTTGTTAATAACACAGGGTTGGGAGGTAGGGGTGGTGAATGACAGGACCCAACATATTCTCTCGCTCTCAGTCTCTCTCTCTCTCTCTCTCTCTCTCTCTCTCTCTCTCTCTCTCTCCTTCCTAAGAACCTGGCCACTGATCATGACAAACAAGTTGGTATGATAACATGTAGGGCCTGAGGCCTGGCCTGAGCTCAGTCCAGGAGTGATGGGGTTAACTTCTAGCATACTATATAGCTGTGTGATATGAGACAGTGACTTAACCTTTTTAGCTGTTTTCTTATGCATGACTTAGAATTAACAGTAGAGCCTATAGACTTGCTAAGATGTTAGTGCTCATGGAATCACTAAGGAAATAAAATCAGATAATGCAAGGAAAACCTCAGGTACAGAGCCTGGGTACAGAATCCACATGATCAATGTTAGCTGCTCTTAATGCTGTCCTTCTGTGGGCCTGTTAAACACTAAAGCCATGTCCACAGGCTGGGCTGTCTCTGAGGCTTTGTTTGGTAGGTGGCTCACTTTCTAGGCATCTCTGTGTACCATAGTCCCTTGAGCCTCAAGCTTGGTATACCTGTATTGTCTACATAGCCAAGACTGGTCTTAAATTTGCCATCCTCCTGCCTTAGCCTCTAAAGTGTTAGGATTACAGGCATGAGACGCCGTGGCTTGGGCTGCAGGCAGCTGTGATACTTCAGCTCTGTACATGGTGTCGGTTGTTCCTGGGACTTTGTTTGGCAGATTGCTTACTCTTTTGGCCTCTCCATTACTCTGGCTACTAGGTTCTCATCAAGAAGCCTCTAGAAGCAGGGGCTTAAAGGTGTTCTGGACAGATACTGTGACATGCTTGTGTATATGATAGGGACACAAATACTCAAGAGCCTGTGTAAGAGAACTGGGTCACCAGGGGGCAGGGGAAGGAAATGAACCTTTGCTGAGTCTGTCATTGTGTTATTTTAAATTAAAATTAAAATTTTAAATTAAAACTTAGCCAGGTAACTACTGATGTGGTTCAAATCCCAGCAATAAATGGGTATGGAGTGAAATGTCCTTTCTTACCTTCCCAAAGCAACCAAGACTATCAGTTCGATTATAAATCTATTGTTATGCTTTTTAAGTATTTTCCTAATTTGACCTCTCAACACATTTTGCAGGAAACGTAACTATTCCCATTTTGTAGACAAGAGAGGTGAAATAATTTACCAAAGTTGAAAGCTATTAAGTGACTGAGCTGGCATAGTGGCCCAGGCTAATCAAACTCTGAAAGCCATGTTTTGTTCTCAGTGGCCCATTTCTAAATACTTCAGTCAAGCAGGCTCTGCTCCAGGGCTGAGAGTCTCCTGAGCCTGGAATTCCTCTCTCTGACAGACACAACCCTCATCCAGGCAGTCCATTTACATGACTATCTTTCTCCTCAGGACCCAAGCCTGAACAGGCCAGCTTCTTATGTCATGGTCCCTCCAAAGAACCTGTTGATCACTGAAGGCTTACAGAAGCCACAGGGGTGCCAATCAGAAGTAGGCTCCACCTGCCTCTGACGTGATAAAATGACACAATCCCACGGCCAGTGCTGCAGGTCCACATTCCAGCAGGAGCTGAGCCCACAGCATCACCTTAGCTAAAGGGCACAAAGGCTCACTCAAGGGTTGAGGCTGGCGACTGACAGTAGAGGCTGCTGTGAACGCTCCTCAAGCCCCCACTACTGTGAATTTCTGACTTAAAAACCCCTGGCACCCTTTGAATTCTAAGTGATCTGCAAGCCTGCTTGAATTGGTCTCCCTGAGGCCTTGCTGCTCCCCACCAACACAGACACCAAATAAAAACAATGAAGGCTCAGGAGAGCAGACAGCCTCAGCCACCTGAAATAGAAGGCTTTGCTGGGCACAGTGCAGGCCACAATTCCACACCTCAGGAGGATGGAGGTTTTTCCATCTGAAGCCCCCAAGGTGTCCCAGCCATACACTTTAAGGTCTTCACAGCTTACCACACCCCAGAGAATGTCAATCTGCAGCTATTAAGGCTGAAATGCACAGGAAATATAGGTTCTAGAGTATGGTGCAACCTGTTTTCTATACAGCTTTATTTTTAGGACTCATTTGCTATTAAAAAAAAAAAAAAAAGAGCTTCCTGCAGCATCTCTACAGCATAGAGGAGTACCCTTGACTTCTCTGGCAGGAAGCAGAAGGCAAAATCTACTGCTAGCTACAAAATAATGGTGCAATTCATAATGGCAACAGCTATATTTACTGAGCACTCCTGGAGCAAGGCTCTATCCTACTTGTGTTATATATATTATTTAATTCTCAGACAACGTGTGAGGTGGGTGCTATTATCGTGCCCATTTTACAGCTGAGGGAATTGCCATTTAAAGATTAAGTAATTTCCCAACATAATATACCTAGTAACTGGCCAGAACTAGGAGGCTGGGGACCCTACAGCTCAGTGTTTGTTCTCAGCTACCAGGCTTCTAAGACTAAGCAGTGAGCACACCCATTGCTTGGAGCAGTGCACAGTGAGGTGGGTGGTACTGCCTAGGGCTCAGGCCTTAGACAGCACCGGAACTAACACGCTAACACCTTTTCTGCACATCTTTGCTCCCCAAAGTGTGGTGTGAGATCCAGCAGCACTAGCTGTGCATGACCAGGAACTTTCTAGAACACACACTCTCTGGGTTCCATTCCAGACTGCCACAATCAGAATCTGCCCTTCCATATGATTGCCTGGGAATTCACTTGTCCATGAAAACTAAAGAAGCTCCACTGTGGAATGCTCTTCATTTTGACCTTGATGTACAAAGTGCATTTTCATTTCAAATTTGTTTCTATTGAGACCCTCACCTCCACCACATCACATTTTTGTTTCAGACCATTTGGCCTTTAAGAAATGCTTGACACAGGGACCAGGTCTCTTTAGCTTCTAGACTCCAGGCAGCCAGGCAGGGAGGCCACTGCCATGGTATCACCTTTTGGATCTCCCTGATAACAGCTCTGCAGAACACCAAAAAGAACTGGAGTAAGCTGCTCCTGGAGAATAGCCACCAGACAGGCCTAGGCTTTCTTAACCAGGAAGAAACTGGGCCTTCCCTCCGTGCTCCTTTCCAACCCTCCTCAGCACCTGCCCACTTCTCTTTACTTCAGGAGGGGGGACTCCAAAGGAAAACAGTCTGAGCACTGGAAGGTGTGGTGTTGGGGTCTGACTCTCACCCTTGCTCCAAGTGGAGATCACATGGCAGATCACACAGCTCTTGATGGAGCAGTCAGAGCTCACCATTTTCAATAGATGTGTACCAGAATTGCATAAGTTCCCTGGAGCCAGGGCAGACAGAACTGGAGAAAAAGAACTTCCGCTTACAAAAATACAGAGAAAACTGTCATTCAAGAAGTCCAGGAGGCTACCCCTTCAGAACAGGTCACTTACACACTTCTACTAAGTGAGAATTTCTCTGGGGATGGCACTGGCTGTGTTGAGAAACAGTTTATCTGTTAGCAAAGCACAGAGAAGGGGGGTGACAGTGAATTCTTTGGGTCGCAGACTGTCTTTGACCAAATCCCTCTGCTTCAAGCAAGCTTATCTCACCATAACAATGATATTATGGGCTGGCAGACTGGTAACAGGATATTAATAGTTAGAAATTCACTTCTAAGAAATTAAGAGAGTTTAAACCCCCCACAAAAAGGATAATCTAACCCCACAGTCTGTGGCAGAGACTGCTTCCTAAGTCTTATTCAGATAGGAATGTAGGTTTTCCATTTGGGGGCGGGATGCTTAATTTTAAAGAGCTTGATCACAGTTTTCAACCCTTTTGGGAAAATGGAAACATGCTCTTGGCTTACAGAACAGTGACGCCCCTTGCTAGAGTTGCAGTGTGAATAGCTCAAGGAACACAAATCATTCTACTAGCAACTACAGATCCCATCTCCTTCTTGCTGACTAAGTTCCCAGGTTACCCATTTTGACAGTCCAGCTGCATTCAGCTCCCAGCACTTGGGAAGAGGCAAGCTCTTTCTCACCAGATAACAAGAGTTCCCAGTTTGTATCACTGGCTACTAAGAGAAATGGCTCAGAGAGAACATACTTCTACTAACTCCCTCTTTTCTGGAAGCTCCTGAAAGAGATGCAGACAGAGCCAGGGACAAAATGATTTCAACACAGTAGGAGGAGAACCCTGGCCAGCATCTAAGTTGTGATAGGGAAAGGAAGGTAATTAAAAATGGATTGAGTCTGACCCATTTTTAAAATCTAGAAGCCACTCACAACTGCCTTTTGTTTTGGTTCTCGCCTGTAGGAGACAGAGGAAAATGGCAAATTGGTGCTAGAAAAACATCCCTGGGAGTCACAAATCTAGAACTGACCCATAGACTTCCTACTATCACTAAGGCAAGGAGTCTTCTATGCCAACAGAATAGACATACATATATATTGTTGGCATAAAGAGGGCATACATATACATGTATATTCTGATTGCCTTTCTCTGTAACTGACACTGTGGCTATTTTAATCTGATTCCATCTGCAGGAGGGAATCAGTATAACAGAGATGACAGATTCTGCTCTCCCACTTCTGCCATATGGACCCCACTCTTCTAGAGAGAATTTGCAGAGCATGGTACTGAAGCAGTAGGGTGCAGGGCCGGTATGCTGCAGTCCCATTCTCTTAGACTACTCCCAAGCTCCAGAAGCAGTGCCCAGAGATTCACACACTGTAGTTATGCAGAGGTGCAGCTAGAGTGAGAGGGGGCAACTCCTTGCTTCCAACCCTGTGCATCAAAGAGCATTCAGCCCTGCTCTCAAACCATCAGGATCAAGGGCAATGCTGGGGCTACTGGAGTGTGTGTGCCTGCTGCCAATCACAGGAGCCGTTACCATATTCGATCTGTTTGGTGTTATTTCACCTCATTCTCCTGAATACCGAAGCTAATTAGACTTCCGGTCAATGCAATGAAGCAACACACTCCCCAGGGTTTCTGGCTCTCTGTGGTTCTTCAGTGCAGCACTTTTGACAGTTCGTTGCAATGACTTAAAACAAAACAAAAGCAACCCAGGCCAGGACGACTGAATCATAAATGCAGGAGGGGAGCCCAGGAAGCTTTCAAAGATCCTTAAGCGATTCCAATATTAAAAACACATCTGTAGTTTGTCCTGTCTTATTTTGTGGCGTTTAGGCCTCCTCCATTATGGCTGTTTACTTGTCTTTCTCTACTCAAATGTAGGTTCTGGAAGCTGTGGAAGTACACCTGAGCCTGCTTGTTCACTGCCATGCTTAGCAACGGCCTGCCAGCTACGACAACTCACAAAATGACCTCCCAATTAATATCTGCATTCCCACACGATTTTGAGATTTCATCCAGGCATCTGAGCTGCCTCATTCCTTTCCTGCTTCATTCTCTTGAAAGTGCAATTACAAAAGGGTGACCCACAAAAAACCCCATAAAACCAAGTTCCTACTATATTGGAGTTCAACCAACTTTGTGATTCCTTTATCTACAACTGCTACAAAGAATAGGCAGCCACAGGCAATGCTCCCCAAAACCCAAGAAAAAAAAAAAAAAAACCTTCATGACAACATAACAGATTCTATTGACGCTGTCTAGATTGGCAAACTGCCAAAAGGAAGGGGAGGGCAAAGTCTGAGGCTTGGTTTAATGTCTACAGTAGAGATGGTCATTTGCCGGTATTTGTCAAATTCAACCTATCTATGGAAACTGGAACAAGACAGAGTAATAGCGCAGCCTGAAAACAGTGTGGGCTGGCTCTCCACAGGACTATCTTTAGTTGTTCCCTCTGTGTAAATGGGGCAGGAAGGGGCATTTAATAAACATGCTACGAGGCTCAACTGTTCTCCTAGCAGGACAAACCCCTCTTGGAGAGGAAAGAATGGGGTGCTGAGAGCCACTGTGTCCTGGGAATTACCTTGCTCATCTGTGCAACAAGGCCATAAGCAAACATCTCTCAACAATGCAAACAAACCAAGCAACTGCTAAGAGGCATTTAAAGAGTGATGGGTACATGATGTATCAAAACTTGTTTTTGAATACTGGTTACAGAGAAAATACTTCTGCCACCTATTTATTAATTGTGTCACACACTGTGGGAAAGGACTTGACCTCCTGGGAGTTATCAGGGGCACTTGACATTGTGGTTTTGTGGTTCCTTACCCTTACATCAGTTCTTAAAAGTCTCATCTATAATGGTCCAAGTGTCCTCTAAAAATCATTATCATGACGAAAGGAGGAAGTGTTGGTAGGTGATGCCATCCTCTTTGAGTATTTTTCTAGCAAAGTTATAACTACAGAAGGAGTCCTCTCAGATAAGTTAGTTAAGGGGGTCACCTGGGAGGTAGCCCAGGGGGTATAGGCACCTGCTTCCAGGCCTGATCAAACCTTAGTTTGATCCCTGGAACGGTATGGCGAATGAGAACCTGCAAGTGGTCCTCTTAACTCTATACACCACCATGGCATGTCCTTTCCCAACAAATGTAAATAATAATAACAATTTTAATGGGTTAAGAACCGCTCTGGAGGTCAGGGCTCAAAGTGGCACTACCCGAAGATGACCTTGGAGGTCTCTTTAATACTGGCTAAGGCTAAGCTAGCGTCCCTGATCACCACCAGGGTGGTTTTGTAGGGAGGTTAGCCAGGATTGGGGGGGGGGACGTAGTCAAATAAATCTGAGGATTAGGGAAGCCCTTGAGGCAGGAGTTCATAGAGGGGCTTCTTGCCTTGAAGAATGCTTTTCTTCACCCCCATGGCACACCCCTAAAAGCCCAAGATCCCCATTCTGTCAGGAACTGGCTGCAGGTCGACTTCGCGTTTCTGACGAGAGTTTCGTCAGCACAGAAGGGTCATGACCTCTGTTCCCCAGCCCGTCGTGGAATTCAGAGGGGGCCACACGGGGCGAAACCACTGTGTCAGAGATTGCCGGAGTCCGCTGGGTGTTCCCACCCCACCCCGCAGTGTAGGGTCCCCTCACCTCCATCGGTTGATGCCCACAGATGAGGAGGCCGCGAACCACGGGTCGAGGATGTAGACACAGCGCACACACCGCGCCCCGCGCACGGCCGCTAGCAGCGCGGGGTTGTCGTGGAGCCGCAACCCTTTGCGGAACCAGTGCACCGAGGACGCGCCGTCCGCGCCCATCGTCAGCGCGGGGACCCGGGCGCCGCGGGGAGCGCCCCCGCCACCACAGCTGCCGCCGCCATCGCCGCCCCGACTGGGCCCCGGGCTGCTGCTCCGCCCCGGACCACACCGTAGGTCCTGTACAGCGCCCGCCCAGCGGCCTATGGTACATCGGATCCCTGAAATGGCTCCGCCCCCTGGAGCCTGGAGCGCCTCTGTGATTGGATGGGACTTCTCCTCCGCTCTATTGGCCGGCAGCGCCGGCGTAGGCCCCGCCCCCTCACGTTCCCACCATGTGTGGTCCCCGCCCGGTAGCCACTCGCCAGTGACGCAGGATGGCGCTGCCGCCTGCCCCGCGTGGGCTGAGCCTGGAGGGACCCCGGATCTCCTACGTGTTTCGCGTTCCCCTCCTGCTTCTGGGAAGAACAGGGGTTGCGGTGACTCCAGCCGGTGGCTGACAGACCTGCCACCAGGCCGGTACATCGTACCGTTCATATGCCAAGCTGAGCGGTGATTGCCTTACACAAACTGTCCTATTTTCTATTCTCATCTCATCCTGGTTACGTTCATTCCACAAACCCGGATGAAACAGATGCTTGTTAGTCTTATTCTGCCGATGAGGCAAGCTTAGGGCGCCCCAGTTTGAATGACTTGCGTAATACGGTGAATCCAGTAAGATTCCCCTCCGAAATTTCCGATTTCAAAGCTTTTAACCCACTTCCTCGCAGAGAATCTTGGCATTTGCATGCAGCAAGGCATAAGGATGAAGGAGAAGCCCTTGTATGCGGCAGAAGTGGGTTTGGGAGAAAGGGCAGGGGTTGCAGAGGATGTGGGTTGAGGCAGTAATTGTGCCCTCAGATGAATTTATTTTTATTTACTTTCTGTTTAGTAGACACAGTACCGTTATTGTGCACAACGCTGAGCTGGATTCCATGTGGGAATCAAAGACGTAGAGGGCACCTACCTCTTGTTTGGAAGCGCTACGATTCTTCGGAGATTCTAGTACAGATTTGCAAACGTTGCATATGCATATGCCCTAAGATGGCCTCGTTGGGCTGGAGTGCTGGAGCTACTAAGCGGAGAACTGTTTCGATTTGTCCTTGTGTTGATCGCATGCTTAGAACCCTTCCCTCACTCGGGAATGCGCAATGAAAGAATCTAGAATTTAGTCATCATTGTAATGGTGTTAATTGGCACCACTCTCTAGCCAGAGCGTCACTGTGATTCTCATTTCCAGGGCTTCGTACATACTGTTCCCTCACATAAATCAACGCCCCAGCCCACAGCCTTTCTATCTCGTGTTTTCCCGGTGGCAGCTGTCATTTTCCAGCTTCCTGGGCCCAGCCTGCATAGTGCCTCATCTCAGTTGGTGCTTTGTTTGATCACTGACCTTAGCTCACACTAGTGGAATTTCTTAGCTATTGTATGTCTGCTCCATCACATTAAAAGCCCGGACATGCCGTGGCTCTGGCTCCGTCAGTGGCATTTCCCAGGTCTAGCTCATATGTATCAAGAGGAAGAACCTCAGACTGGCCAGTGTCTCAGTCCCAGGGTCTGCCTGACCCTCACCTTTTGAATCTCCTCTGCACGTGCTTGCTGAGTGAATTGATGTCTTCCATTAATTTTTAAAAGTGTTTTTCATTATATTGAACTTAGGGCTTAGCAGTGTGTCTGTGTATGAGTATGTGTCCATGAGTGCAGGTGCCCGATGGAGTCCAGAACGGAGTGTTTCCTGGGATTGGAGTTACAGGCTATTGCCAGCCTCCCAGTTGAGTGCTGAGAGCCATCCACAAGCCAGGTTCTCTGCACGAAAAGCACACACTCTTAACCACTGAGCCACCTCTCTGGCCCCTCATTCCTTTTCTTTGAGGCATTGTACACCTTGCTCTTCTATCTCCTCAGGTCCCACAACACTGAGGGCCTGCCAGGAAGAGAATAGGGGAATAAGGAGGGCATTCTTCTTAAAAAATGGCCTTTGGGGGGCACATTCTTCTTTTTCTCCTTTAGACTCCCACAAGGCTGTGTCTGTAAACTGTAGCTCTCTGCAGTCAGGGACTGCCCTATCTTACTTATAGAGAGGTTGAACTCAAATTCCACTTGCTTTTCTTCTGTATGACCCTGAACAAGCTAGCTGATTTCTCTGTTAGTTGTTATCATTTAATTTACTTTTATTATTTTACTCATGTATGTTTGCTAGTGGAAGCCATCATGTGGATGTCAGCGAGGCCAGAAGATGGCATTGGATCCCTTGGAGCTGGAGCTGGAGGAGGCTCTGGGCCGCCTGAGGTGGGTGCTGGGAACCAGACTCTATTCTTCTGGAAGATCAGGGTCTTAGTTACTTTTCTATTGCTATGACAAAACAGCATAACCAAAGCAACTTATAACTATTTAATTTGAGGGTTCATGGTTCCAGAAAGTTAGAACCTATGACTGTCATGATGAAGAGAATGGCAGTAGGCAGGCACACACACACAGCATTGGACAGTAGCTGAGAGCTCACATCTGATCCACAAACACGAGGCAGAGAAGGCTAACTGGGAATGGCTTCAGCTTTTGAAACATCAAAGAGCATTTCCAGTGACACACCTCCCACAGGGCCACACCTCCTAATCCTTCATCAACTGTGGACCAAGCATTCGAATATTTGAGACTATGGAGGGCATTCTTATTCAAACCACCACAAGAAAGTAGTTTTTTGTTTGTTTGTTTGTTTGTTTTTTTCGAGACAGGGTTTCCCTGTGGCTTTGGAGGCTGTCCTGGAACTAGCTCTTGTAGACTAGAATGGTCTCGAACTCACAGAGATCCGCCTGCCTCTGCCTCCCGAGTGCTGGGATTAAAGGCATGCGCCACCACCGCCCGGCTGCAAGTAGTTCTTTTAACCACTGAACCAACTCTCCAACCCCTGTCACTCTCTTAATAGATGCAGGAGGGGTTGTAATAGTTCCTTGGGCACAGTTAGCAGTTGCTATTATGGAGAGCAGGCTTTGCATCCAATTCCCACACTTTTCCTTACACCTACCACATGTTCCATAAGTGACCAAATGAATGAGACGTCTATTTATTTAAAAAAAAAACAACCTCAAAATAAGCCTAACAACTCAGCGATTCTTATGTACACTGTCCTTAAACATTTGAGACAGAGGGAGGGGCAGTGTGGTCCTGACTGCTAGCAGTGAAGCAGTTCCATCTTGCTATGTCATCATCTTTGTTTTGTGTGGCTTTCGTATTCAGGTTGATAAGGATGACTCATTCCACAGGCTGCCTAGTGCTTGGGTGAATTACCTGGGCAACATTCAAGGCCAGGAAGTCAGTCTGGCACTTGAAAGGATACTGAAGGACAAAGTCCACTTTGGAGTTTTGTGCTTTACAATGAGTATAGAAATATCAGAGTGAGGGCAAACAAGCCTTCATGTGACTAAAGAAGCGGAAATTTGAATTCTATTTCGGTCACCTCAGAGCTCCCCCACCTCCCTGTTCTTAAGGGTAATGAACAGCTGCTCCTGCTCCACAAAGGCAGAAGGACAGGAGGGGTGAAGGGGAGACCTTGGGACTTCAAGGATGTGACCGGTCAGCCAGAAAGTGAATGTTGTCTGTCTTCCCTGAAGATCTTTAAAGCAAATCAGTTCTGTTTTGTTGTCTCCTTTGGTCAAAGTCCTCTGTGGAGACGTTATGTGACAACTTTCTGTTTTGGACCTGCCCTTGTGTAAATATCTGATGATTGGTGGAAAGGTGACCACGCAGAGGGAGGGACATACATGGCGACTCTAAGGTGCTTACGCCCTCTAGTGGCCGGACTTGGAAAGCACGAGTCCATGGGGCTCCAGTCTTGGTGCCGCCGCCCAAACACCCAAACCTAGTGACCACTTTGAGAAGCTGCTGCTAAGCTTTTTGAAAGCACAGAGCATAACACCAGACTCTTAGTTTGGTAAACAGCTCCACCTTTAACTAGTAAATGGCTATTTACTTGGAAAGCTTCTTAATTTCTCCATGCCCCAGTTTCTTCATTTGAAAAATGGAGATGACTAGAATGACATGTGCTGTCTAGTGTGAGAGCAAGGTAAATAGACAAATGGCTCAAAATGGATAATCCAGAAGCAGAACCATAAGACTTAGTGGACAGGGGCCGAACAGTTGGTTCAGCCTTTAAGAGCAGTTGTTGCTCTTGCAGGGAGCTCAAGTTTAGTCCTGTACACCCAACCCACACGGTTCACAGACATCTGTAACTCCAGTTCCAGAGACCTACGCCCTCTTCTGGATTCTGTGGGCACCAGACACATATGTAGTGCATAAATATACAGTCTGGCAAAACACTCAGTAAGATCAAATAAAAGTCAAAAGTTCTAAGCCAGGCATTGGTGGCACATGCCTTTAATCCCAGCAGAGGCAGGCGGATCTCTGTGAGTTCGGCTTCAGCCTGTTCTACAAGAGCTAGTTCCAGGACAGCCTCCAAAGCACATTTTATTCATGACATTATGTCTTTGTAAAGTGGGAGAAAATGGTTTTTCCTATAATGATAATGGGTCAGCTAGTCATCCTAATGCAAAAAAAAAAAAAAAAAAGAAAGAAAGAAAGAAAGAAAGAAAAGAAAGAAACCAAAGGAAGAAACTTGACAGCATCAACACTCACACAAGCTGACTCTATGCCTAATGAGCAAACTAAAACAGCAAATTTCTTTACCTTTTGGGGTTGCAGAAACCAATAATTTCTTGAACAAGACATGAAAAACATCCATTCAGTCAGGCGGTGGTCGTACATGCCTTTAACCCAGCACTCAGGAGGTGGAGGCAAGTGGATCTCTGAGTTCAAGCCAGCCTGTTCTACAGAGCTAGTTCCAGGACAGCCAGAGCTGTCACACAGAGAAACCCTGCCTCTAAAAATCAAACCCAAAACAACCAAACAAAACAACAACAAAAACCCCACATCCATTCAGGGAAAGGTTGATAAGTTGTAAGTTTGAAACTGCGTTAAAGTTTAGAACATCTGCTTATCAAAAACAATAAGACAGTGGGAAAGCAAACTACAGAATAGAGGAAGATATGGTGACCCTATTAACCCCTAAGGAGCTCAAGTCTAAACCTAGAAG